TGCAACTGTTTGTCATGATGTTTGTTTTTTTCAGATTAATTTCTAATCCGACTTGTCTGCTAGCTTCGTGTAATGACTGTATCATGCGCTCTAAGTTACCACCGGTTTCAGATAGCAGTACTAAGTCATCTGCGAACCTTAGATGACTTAGGCATTCACCTTTGAGATATACAGCCATTGCAATGCAATAAATAGTTTTGGAGGACAATGATCCCCTTGTCTCACTCTCTATTAATGTTGAAATCCAGGGCCAATTGTTTCCAGTTTGACTTACTTGAACTATTGCTTAGATGGGTGGACGAGCTCACAGCCCACCTGGTGTTAAGTGGTTACTGGAGCCCATAGACATCTACAACGTAAATGCGCCACCCACCTTGAGATATAAGTTCTAAGGTCTCAGTATAGTTACAACGGCTGCCCCACACCCTTCAAAGCCGATTACTACTTCACGACAGAAAATAGGCAGGGCCAAGTGTGACCCCCAAAAAAAAGAAGTGTGGTGGTGGTGTACGACCTGGGCCTCGAATAATTCGGAAATACATGAAGTCAGCGTCGGAACGATACTTCGATAAGGCTATGCGTCATGATAATCGCCTTATCGTTGCCGCCGCTGACTACTCCCCGAATCCTGATCACGCAGGAGCCAGTCACCGTCGACGCCCTAGACACGTCCTTACGGATCCATCAGATCCAATAACCTTTGCATTAGACGCCTTCAGCTCTAATACTAGGAGCAGGCTTAGGGACCTCGGTAACCGTACGCGTCGAACTCGACAAAGAGGTCGACGTGCAACCTTGCCCATCAGCCCGCTGAGTTTCTCGTTTTTTTTTAAAATAAGTATTGATCACTGAAAGTCTATTTTCAAAAGCAAAATCTATTAATCTTTGACCTCTGTCATTTCTATCTCCATATCCATATATTCCTGTAATGATATGTTCTTCTTTTAGTGGTTGACCTATTTTTGCATTAAAATCTCCAATAATTATAAGATTTTTTGAAGATGTATGGATTGCTATGTCCAAACTTCGATAAAATTCTGTTATTTCTTCTTCACTTGAAAGACTTGTGGGGGCATAGGCTTGTATAATGCTTATAATATATCCTTGAATGTTGAGGTTAAGCAGGGCGACTCTTTCCGTGAAGCCTATAAATCGTTCAATATAAGGTTGTAAGGATTTCTTTATTAAAAAACCCACGCCGTAAAGTCCTGGCGTGTGGCCTACATAACATAATATCGTGCTCTCATATTCTTCTATTTGACAGCCCATTCTCCTAACTTCTGAGAGACCAATGACGTCATACTTTATTTCTTTCAAGGCTTCTTCGAGCTCTAATAGTCTTTCATATGAAGAGAGTGTTTTCACGTTATATGTTGCTATGTATAACTTGTTTGTTGATAGATTTCCGGATTTTTGGCCAATTTCTAATTGTTTCTTTGAAGGGTAGTGGTCAATCTCTTCCACGGTGACCAGCCGGCTTGGAAGATGGTTTTCCGTGTTGTGTTTTTTATTATTTTTGTTTTTGAGAGGGTGTGCCGATTGCTATTGGTTCGGATTATGTTTTGGCAAAACTTGTTTAGTTGAATTTTTATTCGCCAAATAGTTGAAGATCCCTGCCTTGACTACATTTTCAGAACAACTAGTTGTGCCCTGTGAGGTGTTTGATGCAGGTTTGTTTTTCTTTTTTGGTTGAGTTCTAGGTGATGAATCAATGCGATTATCGGTTTCTTGAGGCGATGTCGGGAGAGATCGTTTACTCTTTCCTAATCGATTATTTATTTCTTGTTTTCCTATTATAACTATTTTATCGTATTTTAATATAGCTTTGTTACCCTTATCTCTTTCAACTTTTACTTGTTCCTGTAGCATTCTCCGTTTCTCTAGAATATTCTGTGGGTAATCTTCCTTAATGTAGTAGTTTGAATCCTTCAATAGCTTCTTTTGTTTGAGAATTTCAATTTTTCTACCAACTGTGGTCAGTGTCATAACAATAGGTCTAGGTTTCTTTGTATTTTTCCCTATTTTTCTGATTTCTTGAAATGCTTTTCGGTCTAGTTTGATTCCCAGATATTTTGATGTGAAATTAATAATTTCCGTTTCTAAATCCGAGTAAGAGTAGATTGAGTTGTGTTCTTCAATGCCAAAAAAATACAATATTTCGGTTTCTTGCCTGTTTCTCCAATATATGAAGTCTTTATTCCTGCATTTCAAATTGTTCTTCTAGGGTTTTATATTTTTGTTCAAGTTGACTTAGTTTTTCGTCTAAAATCAGATTCACATTATCCGTAACTGTTTTTGCAACTTCTATACCGCTTTCCTTTATTGCGATTTTTTGGTCTTCGAGATCTTTTTGAATTAAGCGTAGGGTGGTTATTATTTCTTCCATTGTTATAATTCACTGGGGTTTATGAAGCAAACGACGATTCCAAGAAAATCTTGTCTTTGTTTTCATACAGGCGGTGCCCTCTTTTGAGCACAAACAGAATATATATATGAGAATGCCGATAATTATTGACAAAATTGTTGATTATCTAAATATGTGTTTGTGTCGTCCGCTGGTAGATGGCGCTGATTACAGCAATATGACTCCGATGTTTAGTTTTTTTATTTCCAAGGCTGTAATTATTAAGATTTTTCTTTTTAGGTTCACTATTCACTGTTTTTAAAATTGTATTCACTAGTTATTTGCACGTCACCGGTTATTGCCGGACCACAACAATCCACTTTGTTTTTTGAAGGTATAGCACCGGTTTCACAATGTTCGTCCAATTTTTCTATTTTTCGGTTCTTTTTTCAAGTCTACTATTCCACTAATTCTATTAAATGTAAAGTGTCACTTTTATTCACTTTTTCTATAGTTTAGTACACTTTTTTTATTTTTAATCACTTATGAATACACAGTCGATGTAATCGTGGAACTGCTTCGCCTACCCTTTCCATCTTGCTTAGCACCTAACAAATTTGATACACCAAAAAATAAAAAGACCAATCATTTCCTTTTGTTAGTTTAAATCATTTATTAAGTATACATATATCTCTATGATCAACATCATTCACGTTCTAATTCTCACCACCAGCAACGACTATAGCGCTTCAACAATAAATCAGCGCCTCTTGATACAACATACCAAATACCACAAATATATTTTTTATTTAGATTTAGTAGACACCCCTACAACTGCAACCGCCTTTCCTAAAGCCGCCCCATAAGCCACGCGGGAAGGAAGTGAAACCAACTGGAGTCACCGAGGGAACAATAAAATCGCCAATGATCGGTGAGATAAAGCTTTCTGAAACAATGCCAACGGTGCCATCACCGCAGCAGCTCGAAATGGCACCGGTCCCAGAAGTGGGAAAAGATCCATCGGTCGAGACAGCGCCCAAGAACGGCAGACTGCCAATGACGGTGACTGCTCCTTCAATGGCGTTCTCTGAAGTTACTACGAGTCCGGTAGGGGCGACAGGAGAGGAACTGGTAACGGTGAAACCGCCGCCAAAAGATGATGGGACGCCTCCGTAGCCGCAGCCGCATCCTTGGCCGAGACCACGCCTGCCGAAGAGCGACAGCCCATCGTAGCCCCGACCACCAAATGGTCCGAGGAATCCATTTCTATAAAGGGCATGACCGATGCACTGGCTGGATATGGCCTGAAACATAATTGACATCAATTATAAGTTAGGAAATTTAATGATAGTGGTTTTTGAGGATATTAATCAGAAGACTTAAGGATTAACTCCTCAGNCTTGGCCGAGACCACGCCTGCCGAAGAGCGACAGCCCATCGTAGCCCCGACCACCAAATGGTCCGAGGAATCCATTTCTATAAAGGGCATGACCGATGCACTGGCTGGATATGGCCTGAAACATAATTGACATCAATTATAAGTTAGGAAATTTAATGATAGTGGTTTTTGAGGATATTAATCAGAAGACTTAAGGATTAACTCCTCAGCTTTTTTTTTATTACTTAGATGGGTGGACGAGCTCACAGCCCACCTGGTTACTGGAGCCCATAGACATCTACAACGTAAATGCGCCACTCATCCTGAGAAATAAGTTCTAAGATCTCAAGCATAGTTACAACGGCTACCCTACCCTTCAAACCGAAATGCACTACTGCTTCACGGCAGAAATAGGTAGGGCGGTGGTACCTATCCGCGCGGACTCACAAGAGGTCCTACCACCATTAACAAATCAGCCGCTTCATCGTCCTTCTACGAGAAAAGATAATGCTAATCGAGGAATACACTTATTTTAATGTTTCTTTTTGCGGTTATTACTTTGACATTATCCGATAACTCAAAATATTCAGTACTAGATTAAAAATAATATTTTTTTTTTTAATTTTGATTCATATTTTGTTTTTAGTAAGACATTTACGAAACTTTGTTAAGCGTCCCCAGAGATCCTCATTTCTTCATTGATGCGGTTAAAAAGAAGATGATTCCAATTCACTTAAGTCCGGACTTTCTCTAACTTAACTTAATGATTATCTATCTTAATCTCTCTCTCTCTCTCTCTCTCTCTCTCTCTTAATCTCTCTCTTAATGAGTCTCTAAGTTAATGATTCAATATTAACAAAAGATCCTGTGTTGGTCAACTGATCGAAATGAGTATAATCTTTCTCGCCTATAGTGAGTAAATGCGATACAATCCTTTATTTCTTCCTTCCATTCCTTTAGTTACTAACTAATACGCTCCTATCGATCTTCTTCTTACTCAAATTGTAATTCACAATTTAGGAAATGCTCGTTAAGTGAAAACAAACAAACGAATGCCCAAAAACGAGGAGCATTGGTTTTTAGAAAAGCTTTTTCTTCGTTCAAAACTTTTCTCATAAAACACGTAAGAGGTAATTGCAACTTATACTGTATAAACTTTGAAAGTTGAAAAAAGTTCATTTTCCTCTGTGTAGCTCTTCTGATAGTAGAACTTTAAAAGTAATCTGGGTTCAAAATATATTGGTTTTACATTATTATGTATGAATTGGTTGGAAGTGTGAAAGTAGCAGTCAGGAGAATATTTTTGTATGAACCAAATGCAGTTACAATTTCTTGCTCATCTATCATTCTCTCTCTCTCTCTCTCTCTCTCTCTCAGGGATCAGATCAGATCAGAGTCTCATTATTTAAAATGTTATACAAAAAAATTAAAATAAAAACATTTCTATTCAATTAACTAACTATAAATAGTTTATGGGAACATCAACACACTCTGAATGAGGCTAAACAAAAAATTTACGCGCTAAATAAATCATGTTACCTAAATAGCCACTCAATTTAAAATTAATTTTTTTTAAACCATTCAATGTCCATATTAATTAGTTTTAACCCAAAAAGTAACAAGAAAGATTCACACTAGCATCTTGAGCATCTTGGCTACTCAGAATACGTCCTGTCACCATTAAAGCACTTAAATCGAGTCTACCTAGCTAGCCTAGCACTAACTCACAGACTTACAAAATATAAGCTCGAGATTGAAGAAGAAAAACTCACCTGCACAAAACTGGTTAGGGCCAAGATAAAAAGTTCCTTTGCCATGTTCAATATAAAGACAATTAATACGCCTAGCTCCGCTACTTGCTTCCCCTTTTATATACTAGCCGGTTTGACACTTACCAAAGCGTTCTCATTTTAACTCGGATAAAGGCTACGTGACTTCACTTGTTGTAGTTCAAAAACATCGCAGTCATTCAAAGTTGGCTCTTACCCAAACTGAGAAAGATGTGGTGAAATCCAATCATTACTATTATCTTTATGTGTCGTGTAATAAAAAAATGAAACCCGCAAAATTATAATTTGCGTAATTACTGGTGGTAGGACCTCTTGTGAGTCCGCGCGGGTAGGTACCACCGCCCTGCCTATTTCTGCCGTGAAGCAGTTATGCGTTTCGGTTTGAAGGGTGGGGCAGCCGTTGTAACTATACTGAGACCTTAGAACTTACATCTCAAGGTGGGTGGCGCATTCACGTTGTGGATGTCTATGGGCTTCAGTAACCACTTAACACCAGGTGGGCTGTGAGCTCGTCCACCCATCTAAGCAATAAAAAAAATTTAAAAAATATGTCCGTCTTTGATTTTGAGAATAGCATTGACAAGGGAACAACCTACTGATCAGTAATGTTTTCAAATCTCATGCCAAAAACGATATGTCATAGCTCTCAGGATACATCGACAGGACGGCTTTATCCAGAGCTTATTTATAAGTTTGAATAGTCCGAAGTAAGGGATAGCTTTACGATCATTCTAAATTTAGTAAGAAAGTTACGTACTTGATGCTTCATCATCGAAATTGTTCCTTTAAATTCGCACTAATAGGTACATGATTCGATTTTGAACAGACGCTTATAGTATGCAGGTACTAATTAAAACACTCTATTATTCTGTAAAATGAAAAGTGAAAGAGTTGGTTAATTAATTTACTTTATATTTTTGGCATATTAAATAGGTAAGAAAGAAAGAAATCATTTATTCGCCAAGCATAGTGAAAATGAGTTATTACATAAGTTAAAAGCAGCGTGTATGCTTTGTCATTATTTGACATGCGAATTTTAGTGCAGTGCAAGATATTATAATATTATATAATTTACCATTCATTCATCCATAATTCAATTCAACTAATAATTAAAAATTCCATTTATTTTCAATGTCGTCCCTAAGAAAATCATTTATGTCATAATAATTTCCACTAATAGAATTATCTTTTAGTTTTTTCTTAAAATGAAAATCGTCTAAGTCTCTTAATTTCTTTGGTAATTTATTAAATATCCTAACTCTCATACCTAGTATACTATTATTCTTCTTTATATTCCTTTTTTGTGCCTTAAAAACTTGATCTTTCTACTGCTGATTATTTCCAAAAATTACCAGTCTTTTAATCACTCAACAATAAATCAACACTCAGCAACTTCAAAGAAATGGCCTATACAAAGGCCGTTTTTTTAAGATTACAAGTACTTTCAAATTGTACTCCCAGTCTATAGCACAAAAAAAAGAAACATCCATGCGCAGAACAAATTCTGGTCATATCTTTTGGAACCATTGCGTCCGTCCGATAATTAATTTTGACCATATTTGCCACCTACTAGTTCATAAACAAATGTTCCCCTACGGCGTTCCTTGACGATTTTTCCTTTGCCCTCATAGGCAGACAAGAATACGGTTCTTCTTCAACCCAATGCAATGCTTTTTGTAAATATAAAGCTTATTTTCCGTAAACAGGTTTAAGCTTTTAAAGCACTTAGAAGAGACTTTCAGAATCTCATTGTGCTAGAAATGTGGTAATAGACTGGACGCTTAGTTAAGTATTTTTTTATTATTTCCTCCTTGCATCGTGTTCCTCAGTGAGGAGGGTCGTGAGCTTTACGAAGACCTTTAGTTTGGACTATGTTTCTCCATTCCTTGAATCGATGGATAGCGATGTTGATGCAGGAGTCCAATTTCGCTACCCACTGCGACTTACTGATTTCTTCTTCTTCTTCTCGGTCGTATGCACTCTTGGCAGAGTGGTCGTGGTCATCACTTCGGTTGGTGGTGCGCTTCAGCAGACGTCGCCATTCCTTGCGTACCGCGGCCCTTCTTGTGCACTCGTTAACGGGACCGTTTAGAGCTGCTTTTATTTGGTCGGTCCATCGTAACGGTGATCTGCCGTGCGGTCTTGTACCCTCTATCATGCCCTGCACCACAAGGCGCTCAACTGAGTCGTCACCCCGCCGCGACACATGCCCGAAGAAAGCGAGAATGCGACCCTGAACGATGGAGGATAGTCGCTGCTTGATGCCGAGTTCCTGTAGAATTGACTGATTCGTTCTGAACTCCGTCCACGATATTTGCAACATTCTTCTCCAGCACCACATTTCGAGAGCATCTATCCTCTTTTTCTCACTTTCTCTCAATGTCCAGGTCTCAGCAGCATAAAGAAAAATGGGGAAGACCAGCGCTCTCACAAGTCTGATTTTAGAGGCTTTAGTGATTTACTGGTCCGAAAAAAATTATTGAAATTGAAAATTGAATTTTTTGTATTGAAAAATAGGCGCAAAGATCCTATTAATTCGTTCTGTGTTTGTCTCCACCACGAAAGTAAAGCATTCGAAGTGTTACAATATAAAACGACTCGTGACAACAAAAAAAAATATTGAATATACTCGTAATATCATATTTTTGTATTTTGTATTTATCGATGAAATATGAGACGATTTTATTATTATATTGTTATTTGTTTGTATATTGTTTGTTGGTAAATAGAGTGACTAGATACTTACATCGCTATGACTTTCTCTACACCACCTTTCGTGGATTGGTAAGGAGTGGCTAAAGTAAACAGTACGCCAATCATCATCATCATCATCATAATCATCATCAACAGCCCACAGTCGTCCACCGCTGGACATAGGCCTCTCCCAATCCACACCACTGAGCCCGGTCTGCGGCTCTCCTCATCCACTTCTTGCCGGCCACCGTGCGGAGGTCATCGTACCACCTAGCCAAGTACGCCAAAGCACCAAATAAAGTATGAATTGATAAAGTGTGAAGTATGATTGATGATATTTTTAAGGATAAAAAGAATCAACCATTCAGAAACGATGTAATGTACCTAATGATAATAATATGTGATTGATTAGATCTATATTATTTTATGATTTTAATGGATTATGAATGTAATTAAATTCTTTATGACTATAATTTATGAATGTTATATTATAAATTGAAAGTTAATCTACAATTCATTCTATATTTATTTTACATTTGCACACTTTTTATTCTAGTAAAAAAATGGTGGAATTTTAAAATTTTATAATACCATTATTTATGTACCATGTCTCCGGCAAATTTCCAATTTTTCTAATGAAATACGTACTCAACAAATGTTCACGATTGACTTCCACGGTGAAGGAATAACATCGTGTAATAAAAATGAAACCCGCAAAATTATAATTTGCGTAATTACTGGTGGTAGGACCTCTTGTGAGTCCGTGCGGGTGGGTACCACCACCCCGCCTATTTCCGCCGTGAAGCAGTAATGCGTTTCGGTTCGAAGGGTGGGGTAGCCGTTGTGACTATACTGAGACCTTAGAACTTATATCTCAAGGTGGGTGGCGCATTTACGTTGTAGATGTCTATGGGCTCCAGTAACCACTTAACATCAGGTGGGCTATGATCTCGTCCATCCATCTAAGCAATAAAAAAAAAGCTATTAACTAATCGCGCTTCATCACTCAGAACTTCAGAACTTCTGACACTCCAACTGTTTTTTATTTCCTGACTATGTTTTTTGGTATTTCTAATTATCTCAGTATAAGCTAATTAATGTTTTAATTTGATCATGTTTTGTATACAATTTTCGTGGTCACCAAAATAATCTAAAGGTTAAGGTATTTGTTAGTTAAAATAAACTAATTTGGTTTCAATGAGCAAACTGTATTGAAATGTTTTTTTTATTTTTTTTATTGCTTAGACGTGTGGACGAGCTGGTGTTAAGTGGTTACTGGAGCCCATAGACATCTACAACGTAAATGCGCCACACACCTTGAGATATAAGTTCTAAGGTCTCAGTATAGTCACAACGGCTGCCCAACCCTTCAAACCGAAACGCATTACTGCTTCACGGCAGAAATAAGCGGGGTGGTGGTACCTACCCGTGCGGACTCACAAGAGGTCCTACCACCAGTGATTACGCAAATTATAATTTTGCGGGTTTGATTTTTATTACACGATGTTATTCCTTCATCGTGGAAGTCTAGCGTGAACATTTGTCGAGTACGTATTTCATTAGAAGAATTTGTACCCGCCTGCGGGATTCGAACACCGGTGCATCGCTACACACTAATGCACCGGGCGTCTTATCCTTTAGGCCACGACGACTTCAAATTCATCAATTCAATAGGGAATACTTCGTAGATGACTCAGAATTTAAATTAATATCTAACTTTCAAAATTATTAGATTCAGCTTCAGAATTAACTGACTGCGATTCTTTTCAACTAAGTCGAATATTCCCGACATCCGAACTCAAGATAAACCGTTATTGTAATTAATTACAAAACTGAACTTTGAAAACTGCATTTTGTAACAAAACGTGTTCGAAATAATAAAAAAAACACCTTTCAATTAAGAAATTTTCGTAAAACCTTATAAAAATTGGATTGATTGGATTAAAAGGAAAATTACGAAAATAACAATCAGAGAGCGGTATAAATTTGGTTTTCTCACTGTCTTATGTAGTATCAGCAAAACTTTGTTTTTAATACGATATGTGTGCTATTTCTTTCATCTTACTCTTCATTCAGGCTTGCCTGATCCAAGTAAGTTTTCTTATCTATACTAATACTAATACTAATACTAATAATATTATAAAGAGGAAAGATTTGTTTGTTTGTTTGTTTCGAATAGGCTCCGAAACTACTGGACCGATTTGAAAAATTCTTTTTCCATTAGATGCCGACATTGTCCCTGACGAACATAGGCTACTTTTTTTTTAATTTTTTTTATTTTATTTTTTTGGTTTCATGTGTGTTTTAATGTTTCCGAAGCGAAGCGAGGGCGGGTCGCTAGTACTGTTATATATCAAATCAAATCAAAAGCTGAGGCTGAGGTACACAGCACAATTTTATATTGTGCAATATATATTTAAATATACATCTTCTCTTAACAATCTGGTTCTTCATTTATTTTAATCCTACTTATACTGATTTCACATCCGCATATCGGTGGGAAGTAATTTATTTGTCGTTGGAATATTAATTAATTAGTAGGTGCAGGTTAAAAAAGTCGTCGTGGCCTAAAGGATAAGACGTCCGATGCATTCGTATCGAGCGATGCACCGGTGTTCGAATCCCGCAGGCGGGTACCAATTTTTCTAATGAAATACGTACTTATCAAATGTTCACGATTGACTTTCACGGTGAAGGAATAACATCGTGTAATAAAAATCAAACCCGCAAAATTATAATTTGCGTAATTACTGGTGGTAGGACCTCTTGTGAGTCCGCACGGGTAGGTACCAGCACCCTGCCTATTTCTGCCGTGAAGCAGTAATGTGTTTCGGCTTGAAGGGTGGGGCAGCCGTTGTAACTATACTGAGACCTAAGAACCTACATCTCAAAGTGTATGGCGCATTTACGTAAATATCTATGAACTCCAGTAACTACTTAACACCAGGTGGGCTGTGAGCTCGTCCACCCATCTAAGCAATAAATAAAATAGACACATGCGTATTTAATGCATGAATGGGCGACTCGAATCAATGCCTGTGGAATCTAACAAGTCTTAACTACCATTCACTAAATAGAGATTAGAGTTAATTAATATTTGAGGATACGAATGGATGATGAAGAAGCAGTGCCAGTAGAAGTATCAGTAGGAAAGCGAGTAGCATCGATAGCTCGACAAAATATTGCCAAGTAAGATCCTCTGGGCCCTAACCTAGATTGGAATTTTGGATGCTATTTCGTGGTAACAGGAAATCGGTTATCTATGATGCTGCTCATAATCTTCAATAAATAAAATTGGAGTGTCTGTTTGTAATATTGAAATAACTGCTTTTTACTACATGCATATAAATATATATACGGTACAGACACCAAACATAATTTTTTTACGATTTTTGTCTGTCTGTTTGTTCCGGCTAATCTCTGAAACAGCTGGACCGATTTTGACGAGACTTTCACTAATAGGTAGCTGATGATATAAGGAGTAACTTAGGCTACTTTTTTAGTCTAGCTTCGCCCCGCGTCGTCACCTGCGGTACGACTATAACCGCGGGTAACATCGCAGGACTTAGCTATTCAATAATAAAATTCAATGTTTCCGAAGCGAAGTGAGGGCGGGTTGCTAGTCTAATAAAATTTATTGTTTCCGAAGCGAAGCGAGGGCGGGTTGCTAGTTTAAAATAAGTTAGCTCACCGTCCTTAAGACCTTCACTGCGGAACAATTAGTATTTTCTGCTTTCACCGTACATAGTTTCGTTTGCAATAATTTCGTGTGCATAATTTAGATTACTTTTAAGGTTTAAACTCGTCATTATAATATTATTTTCGACATTTAATTCAGGATAATCACGAAAATCGTAAAGTATTTGGATTATCGGAATTAATTAAGTGACAGTAAAAAATAATAATAGCGAGATTAAAACGTAAAAGCAATTTTTAATTATACCTTTAAATTATTCAAAACAATTTACGATCTCAAAATATAATTCTGTTAATTGAAGATCTCAAAAGTCTTGCTTCTGATTTTTCAGTTGTGTGATTTTGTTTTTGATTAGTTTATCGTGAATAGTTCACGCTAAAATATATTATATTTAGTTATTAAAGTTTTGATTCTTCATACAGATGTATACTATCTATAGTGTTTCCGATTGTTGTTTAAATTCTTTCACAACCAAGATCTTAGCAACGAAAATTGTTATATTATCCTCGGATTATCTTAAAAAATATATATTCTCCTATTTCACCTTTCAAAACTACGTTAATTTATATTATAATACACACTTAGCATTTCTGTTAGTCAGAAAATATGATAGTCGATCTAGAAGTTATATAAACAGAACACCAGTTTCTGAAGGGTAAGAAAATTCATTGATACTTCTATCTCTGGTCCCAAAGGCTATGGTTACTTTGTTATGTGCGTTAGCTTCGGGATCTGGAGGTTTGCAATCGTCTGATTTACCCAACATTTCGTACTGACTTTACGTTCTTACGAGCTGTATGAATTAAGTAATCAAAATCTATATATTAATACGTGAAGCAAAAACTTTGTATCCCTTTTTACGAAAATTGCGCGGACGGAGGAGTATGAAATTTTCCTCACTTATAGAGAATATAGAGAAGAAGTGCACAATGCTAATATTTTTTTTAAATAATGCATAAAAGATACATTAAATCAATAAAGAAAACATTACAGACACTACATACCATGTATTTGACGCACACACGCATACATACTATTTATTTATTGTCAAACTTTTGTTCTTGACGTCTGTGGTCAAATTGAGAATAGATTAAATATTGTTTGTCTTTGTTAATATTTTTTATAGTGTAGTCTTGGCGAAATTTGTGATTACAGAAGTATAAAAAACAATCATAATAGTGTACAAACTTACAATTCCAATTAATTATAGCCGAATTTCGACTACTACGGGACCTCTAGTAATTATAATTAGCGGATTTTTTAAAACAGAAAAATTGGATATTTAATAAAAAAATGTTATTTATTTGTTTCAGAATGCTGTCGGTGTCTGTTTAGGAAAGACTGGTATTAACAATGCTGTTACCGCACCGTTGGCTGGCGCCGCCATTGCCCCTGGTAGACTTTGCTATGAAGGCTGCGGCAGCTATGGCGGTGTTGGCGTTGGTAACATCCGCGTGGCTGGCGAGCTGCCCGTGGTCGGTATCACCTCCGTCGCTGGTCGCGTGCCCATCGTGGGTACTGTTAAATTCGAGGGCCCCGCTTGCGCTGGTGGCTGCGTAACCATTGCTGGCCAATGCACTCCCATCTGCGGGTGCGGTCTTGCTTATTAATTAACTAATATTGTTTTGGATAAAAATAAATGTTGATTGATCAGAATTTCTTTTGATGCAAATTCTCCCTTTACTTCCTCATATTTATTGAAAATTTTCTAAATCTAAAGTACTCTCCAAAGACCATGGACAGACTCTCAAAAAGATCTGAAGATCACAATATCACTCCAACTGGTCAGGGCACTGGTATTCCCCATCTGGTTGCATGGAGTTAAGATCTGGACTGTCAAAGAAAGAGAAAGAAAAAGGATCGATGCACAAGAAATATGGTGCTGGAGAAGGATGCTCCCTATATCTTGGACTGAGCATCGCACCAACGTCTCAATCCTAAAGGAACTTAACATATCTCAAAGGTCTGTCGTCAACAGTACAACAACAATTCAGGATTCTCCAATATTTTGGACACGTATCGCGACCGCCAGCAGAGTCTATCGAAAATCTTGTTGTTCAGGGAAGACTTGCTATAGAGTCAATGGTAAAATACTTCGTAGACGAAGTCCCATGCGCTGGACCGATAAAGGACCGACTATGATGATGAAAGTACTCTTGGCGTTTAGATGTGTTCACGGCGAATTATTCATTATAATCCTTTAGAGAGAGATACATTGTGTATTCATGAATCAAATGATGTGATTATTACGATGATTAGTACTGGTGGTAGAACCTCTTGTGAGTCCGCACGGGTAGGTACCACCACCCTGCCTATTTCTGTCATGAAGCAGTAATGCGTTTCGGTTTGAAGGGTGGGGCAGCCGTTGTAACTATACTGAGACCTTAGAACTTATGTCTCAAGGTATGTGGCGCATTTACGGTTTGGTTTTTATGGGCTCCAGTAACCACTTAACACCAGGGGGGCTGTGGGCTCGTCCACACATCTAAACAATAAAAAAAAAATGCTCCCAATTAGAAATAGGGTTGTCGAAATCCCGCAGGTACACATCGTTTTTTTCAAAGAACCAATTTCGCGACGGAGCTACAATATTATTATCGGGCGATGAAAATGAAAAGCCGTTGAGTTTGAAATTTGCGAAAGTATTGGTACGCATTTAACTGTTACAATTTTTTTTATTCGAAATAGTGAAGTGTTCCTTTTTGAAGGCTGAGTCAAGCCTGTTAATACACAATCGACATTTCGTCCTCAAAGTGTGTGAAAACATTCACATTGGTATTTCTATCGGTTGGGTACCTTCTTTGAGATGGCTATGGGAGGAATTTGCCTACTCGGTGTTACCTGAGCTTTGAGTCTTTATTCAAATGAGGTCTGTGTAGAGTGCGCAATGGCAGGCAACGGTATGGCTTTCGGCGCGCACTTTGAAGTACCGTAGTTTCCGTTCAGCCGGAGTGATGGAGTTCGAAGGGGCTTAGTCAATAGTCTGGGAAGCGGGTCTTTCATGGATCACGCCTTGTGGCATCTCGCGCACTTTTCCCAAGGTGCCGTCACCTAAGAGGAATTCGGAACACGTCCTTACGGATCCATCAGATCCAATAACTTTTGCATTAGACGTTTTCAGCTCTAACACTAGGAGTAGGCTTAGGAACCCCGGTAATCGTACTCGTCGAGCTCGACAAAGAGGTCGACGTGCAACCTAACCCATGCATCAGCCCGCTGAGTTTCTCGTCGGATCTTCTCAGCGGGTCGCGATTCCGATCCGGTAGTAGATTCATTCGCGAAGCAATTGCTCTTGAGTCGTTAGGTGTCCTTCGGAGGCGCTCAGGCAGTTGTTAGCAAATCTAACCCCTCCTGGCTGAGCCTTTTCTCGCCCACCTGTCCTGGTGAAACTGGAAAGGCCTCCAATCCACCAGCAATCTTTCAATCATAAAAAAGGGACTCGGAAGAGGAGGGGACATCGGTCCTACATCATGTATACCTTAAAATTACCCCGGAAAAGGTGTAATGAAGCTAAATGAGGATATTTTGATATAAGATATTTTTTAATAAACCACACATGGAAAAAGATATGCAGTTTAATGTATTTTATATTTACATAATAGTCCGATATCTCATATACGATGTGATATGTATGTATACGATATCACATAACCTTATAAATGTTTACAATAGGCCTAACACAAGAATAGTTTCGATAAAAAGCCGATAACGCGAACCAATGAAATGCATTACAAATGTTTATCGTTTTGTCATATTTATTATCATGTCTACATAATCGTACGATACGCAGAGAAAAATTAAGTAATTAAGAGAACTGTGTTGTATATATATACACGATTTTATTTTAATCGTAACAGAATCAAAAGCTACTCCGGTATCTGTTCATCATGAAAGTATTTTGTTTGTATTATATCGCAGCCTTACTGATCACGGTAAGTTATTTTGAAAACATACACGGAAGTTAATAGGTTTTAATAGCTGTCAAATGACGATTCAAAATAAGCTTTACGCCGGTTCACTGGCCTGGAACTAAAGTTCAAAATCGCATATCAGACTTGACGTTGCACATGCTTACAAATAATCTTCATAACAGAGAAGAGAAGATGACTTGTACAAGTCTGAATTGCACCAATGATATTTATCAGATAAGTTTATCGTTCGAGCGTCACATAGGTGGTAGGCAGAGGCTTGGCTCTTGGCATTGCTGACGTCCATGAGCGACGGTAGCCACTCACCATCAGGTGGGCCGTATGCTCGTCTGCCTACACGGCAATAAAAAAAAATGTAGCATTATAGAGGACAGTTTTTTTCTAATGAAATACGTACTTAACAAATGTTCACGATTGACTTCCACGGTGAAGGAATAACATTGTGTAATAAAAATCAAACCCTCAAAATTATAATTTACGTAATTTCTGGTGGTAGGACATCTTGTGAGTCCGCACGGGTAGGTACCGCAGCCCTGTCTATTTCTGTGGTAAAGCAGTAATGCGTTTCGGTTTGAAGGGTGGGGCAGCCGTTGTAACTATACTGAGACCTTAGAACTTATATCTCAAGGTATGTGGCGCATTTACGGTGTAGATGTCTATGGGCTCCAGTAACCACCTAACACCAGGTGGGCTGTGAGCTCGTCCACACATCTAAACAATAAATAAAAAAAGATGCACCCCACGATGTCCTCTCATCTTTGCATGATCGAAGCCATCCTAATGTAGTAATTCAAAAGCCCTCCACCTGCAGACTTGATTTGGTCGGATGACCTCATGTAAGACCACAGCCTTGCACTGTCCAATTTTCATTGCACGATTAGGATGGACTAGTTATCTCATCACAAAACGTATCCGAAGAGAGTTCCCATCTGAGATTATTCTATAAAAATTAGATGCCCTACGATGCCGAGCTCTTGAAGTACAAGACGTGAATGGGATACTTGATCCACGAAATACTAAGCATCTAACTTGTATAATAGATGAGCTCAAATATACTAAAGTACCGAACAAAATAACCACAATAAAACAATTGGAAGGCCGAGCAATGACACCTGGTCAGTAAAAGACAAAGTCAGTATAAAGAGTCGATTGGACTCTTGGAATGGTCCCTATGAAGTTAACTTTAGCATCTTGACTCAAAAACTTGAACTTGTATATAAATTGGATAGATCTTCTGACAATTGAATTAAATCGTAAGCAAATCTAAGATGAATTCAATACAAGTTTCATTTCAATCGAGATTTCGGAAGGCGAATGCTAATGTGTAGTTTTGGGGATAAAGGTTTTCATGATTAAAACCCTTCCTTGATTTATTGAATAGGACTTAAAGGAATATCGGTTCTTTTTAATAAAACAAGGCAATGCTTTCTCAGTAGATTTCGATCACAAACTGCTGGAAATTGTTTAAAAACCTTAAAATAGTTCTTAAATTTGTTTCAGGTTGCAAACGGTCAGTGTCTCGGTCGCGAACCACTCTTACCGACAGGTCTCAGTCCAGGCTGGGCCGGTTTCGATAGTTCTGTACCATTCGACTTTGGATTCGGCGGTCCAGGGATTGGCTTCAATACATTCGCACCTCCAAACGGCTTAGCTGCTTCTTACGGCGGAGGACTCACAGTTACCAGTTCCTCGCCCATTGCTCCAACAGGATTAACAGTTACTTCTGAAAATACTATCGAAGGCACGCTGTCTCTTACCGGACAGCTACCATTCTTAGGTGCTGTGTCTGCCGAAGGTAAATTCCCTTCTGTTGGCGTTGGATCTGTAACTTATGGATGTGGAGACGGTGTTATTGGTATCACCGCAGAAAACCCAGTCATTCCCTTAGCTTCAGGGTACGGAAATCTTGGTGCTCCATACAATAGCAGAGGCTATGGTCCAGTTTATTAATATTAGTTTGTTAAGTTGTCACAACTAATTTAGATTTATAAGGTTTGTATTAATTTTTCTTAGGTGAATTAGATAATTTAAGATACTAGTGATTATTGATAAAATATTCGTAATAAAATTTTATTTTATTTAAAAACACTTTGGTATTATTTGGTCGTATGTGATTACAAACACAGTATTCAATACTTTAAGTATTGCTTAACGAACGCAAAGGTTGCAACATAACATTTTTCAAAATTCAATATAAATTTGGAAATGATTGGCAACCAATATAGGCTGATTGCTTAATTAATAGTAATTGGATTGAGGATTATAATCGCACTTTTGTTATCTAGTGCTCTTTGATGGTATATTCGATGCTGATACAGATACAATACAATAATACTATTATGTTTCCAATTGATCTGAAGTCTGATGTGATTTTCCAAGTACGTTGAAAAACATCAATGAAGCTAACTGACTTGCTATAGAGTTATACTAGTAGCAATAAAAATCTACTATACAACTGTTTCATCACACAACAAAACTCTCAACAAAACCAACAAAATGCTCTGGCTGAAGCCATAGCAACAGGGTAGCGAAGATCCTACTCTTAAAATTTTCAAAATCTTGTCTACTCTACTGCTTAGCATCAAAAACAATCAGAACGGTAATAACCTCTACTCACAAGGGTTACCCAACCCACTTTTTCAATGTTAAATATGTAGCAAGATTTATCAACTTTGTATTGGTAACCCATGTGAAGCAAGCTTTATCGTTAATACTAAGGCACGTTACAAAAACAGTTATTACAATTGAGTTCTTTAACACATTTTGTAATTGATTCCATATGTCTAGCAAGGCCTGACGAATCTTGGCTAAATTTTTGATGTAATAGTCGTTTGCATATAGCTTTAGCGTGTAATAATGATTTAGTGACGTAAGGTATTATGTTTGTGGAGTAATTTAATAGGTTAGACCGATACGTCCAAGCAGGAAATTTCGTATGAATTCTGCAAATGTTTCTCTCTAGCTTGGATTTTTATTAGGGTGCAGAAGTTTTTCGGGGTCTGGAGACTTTTCTAGCTTAAAGAGGACGTGTGGGTCAGCTCGGATTCAAGAAGGTGGGGTGAGATTTGGTAACAAATGCCCGAGAGCCTCTACATGAGGTCTAACAACTCAAGGGCAGCTGCTTTGCGTACGAATTTACTATTGGATCGGAATCACGACCCACTGCGAAGATCCCGCCAAAAATTCAGTGGGCTGATGGGTTAATTGTCACATCAAACTCTTTGTCCAGTAGACCTGTTCTTTGACTGCTCCTGGAGATAGAATTAGAACATTACGATATTGTTCCTGCTACTGCTATCAGGGTTGTTATAGTGGCAGCCATGATCGCAGCGCTTCTGTGTCAATGGTTCATTACATATGATTGATTATATATAATTTTGCGAGCTTACAAAACTAAGGCCTTATTGGCGTTGGAGTTTGAAGTTACTGATTGCTCATACGAATCCTTCATCGTATTTTGCAACACACAACAGAAAAGAGTTGGGGTCGCGTTATTTTACTGGTGGTAGGACGTCTTGTGAGTCCGCACGGGTAGGTACCACCACCCTGCGTATTTCTGCCGTGAAGCAGTAATGCGTTTCGGTTTGAAGGGTGGGGTAGCCGTTGTAACTATATTGAGATCTTAGAACTTATATCTCAAATATCGCTGTTCTACGATTTTACTGGTGGTAGGACGTCTTGTGAGTCCGCACGGGTAGATACCACCACCCTGCGTATTTCTGCCGTGAAGCAGTAATGCGTTTCGGTTTGAAGGGTGGGGCAGCCGTTGTAACTATATTGAGATCTTAGAACTTATATCTCAAATATCGCTGTTCTACGACTTTACTGGTGGTAGGACGTCTTGTGAGTCCGCACGGGTAGGTACCACCGCCCTGCGTATTTCTGCCGTGAAACAGTAAAGTGTTTCGGTTTGAAGGGTGGGGCAGCCGTTGTAACTATATTGAGATCTTAGAACTTATATCTCAAATATCGCTGTTCTACGACTTTACTGGTGGTAGGACGTCTTGTGAGTCCACACGGGTAGGTACCACCACCCTGCGTATTTCTGCCGTGAAGCAGTAATGCGTTTCGGTTTGAAGGGTGGAGCAGCCGTTGTAATTATTTGAGACCTTAGAACTTATGTTACGAGGTTGGTGGTGGCACTTATATTGTAGATGTCTATGGGCTCCGATAACTACCTAACACCAGGTGGGCCGTGACCTCGTATACATATCTAAGAATAAAAATTTGCAATATTTGTATCATCAACTACATTAAGAGAATTACTAAATAATATAGAAAAAAATATACATGCGCCTTATCAAATGTTAGAAATAAGAAATAGAAGTGACGTCACTTCATTTGTACAATTTAAGCTCCTTATTCACGGGGTATATGTTTTGTAAATAAGCCGCGAACTCAGAAACCGTGAATACGCAATGGTAATTTACATATATGGGATTATAGGGATACTTTCTTACGTGACGAAATAAAAACATACTTTATGCATAGTTGTAATAAGGTCTATTTTACTTTTTTATTAGTCCGTTTAAGGATGCGCTTACAAAAGCTTTTCAGTTGGATACCTACATATTGGAATCCTTTTTATCAATGTGTACTATCGATGTACTGATTAGATCCTCGAACAAATTTTATTATATTTAGCCGCGAATTTTTTTTTATTTTTTTTTATTGTTTAGATGGGTGGACGAGCTCACATCCCACCTGGTGTTAAGTAGTTACTGGAGTTCATAGATATTTACGTAAATGCGCCATACACTTTGAGATGTAGGTTCTAAGGTCTCAGTATAGTTACAACGGCTGCCCCACCCTTGAAGCCGAAACACATTACTGCTTCACGGCAGAAATAGGCAGGGTGCTGGTACCGACCCGTGCGGACTCTCACAAGAGGTCCTACCACCAGTAATTACGCAAATTATAATTTTGCGGGTTTCATTTTTATTACACGATGTTATTCCTTCACCGTGGAAGTCAATCGTGAACATTTGTTGAGTACGTATTTCATTAGGAAAATTGGTACCCGCCTGCGGGATCCGAACACCGGTGCATCGCTTCAACACGAATGCACCGGATGTCTTATCTGTTAGGCGGAATAGGATAGGAATATAGGAATTCGGTCGCGAATAGTGAAAACACGAATGAAGAAAGCGCCAATAAGGAGTTTTTAGTGTAATCCATTTGCTATTTCTTGGTAAATTCAGTGCATTATCCCCTGGTGGTTGGGTGTACCGTGAGTTCGCCAAAGCGATACCTCCACTCTATATCTTCCATGACACAACCTTACTTCCCAGGTTGAGAGGTGGGACAGTCGTTCTACGATACAATTGAGGCTTCGAACCCATGACTCAAGGCGGATTGGAGACGTCAATCACCAAGTCAATCGTCAAGCCCTCAAAACCATTTAGCGGAAAAAAAAACTTATTCGTTTTATCTCTATATATAACAATTAATTGCTGTTCGTTAGTCTCGCTAAAACTCGAGAACAACTGGACCGATTTGGCTAATTTTAGTCTTGAATTATTTGTGGAAGTCCAGAGAAGGTTTAAAAGGTAGAAAAATATGAAAATGCTCGGAATTAAATAAAAATAACAATTTTGTTTTCTCTTTGATGTGTCCCCGTGGGACGGATTCCTTTTGTTTGTTTTAAGTTTAGTTTATACAAAAGGGTATTTTATTTATCGATTGAGGCACTACGAAGCCTGCCGGGTCAGCTAGTACAAAATACAAAAGCCATAAGGTGATTTAGCAAACTAAACAATCTTACCATCTAACGTAATAAAAATATAATCAGTCTTAAACAATAGTTTACAAGCGGTGTACTTGTCACAGTTAGCTTTAGTTGATCTTAGTTAAGTAAATAGCAGTGCTGCACTGATATATACATACATAATTGTACAGATAATAAACACCCAGAGCAAACCAAATTGTTCATCACACAACATTTGCCCGATGTGAGAATCGAACCGACGTTTTGAATAGTCTCAGGCAGTGTTTCCCAAACTTTCTTTCGCCATGCCCTACTGTAAAATTTCAAAAATGTTTATGCCCTCCACACATAATTATTAACATTAAAAAAATGATTTGTTCACTTAAGAAACATAAATGATTGGTTTTAGAAAGAAATCACTATGAAATTGTTATCAAAACACAGGTAGTAATATTTCAACACAAAGAATAAAAAATTGAAATTCAATTTCAAAATATTAATATATATTTTCTATATTAATTTAGATTGCCCCCCTTAATTATCAAATTGCCCTCTTGTGGGGCGTGGGCGCCACTTTGGGAAACACCGGTCTAAGGTCTTATTCGTTCGCAATGAAATTGTTTTTAATAATGTCTAAAATTCGTAGAAACCGAAGAGAATCTAGTTTGATTTTTGTCTTCAAACGCCCCTGCTAGTGAGTATGAGAGTATCCTATACAAAAATGGACGTCTCTCAAACTTCAATTAAATTTTCTTAATCGGGTCCCATCATTTAGACTATCTAGACATCATCATCTATATATTAATACGTGAAGCAAAAACTTTGTATCCCTTTTTACGAAAATTGCGCGGACGGAGGAGTATGAAATTTTCCACACTTATAGAGAATATAGAGAAGAAGTGCACAATGCTAATATTTTTTTTAAATACTGCATAAAAGATACATTAAATCAATAAAGAAAACATTACACACACTACATACCATGTATTTAACGCACACACACATGCATACTATTTATTGTCAAACTTTTGTTCTTTTCTTCTGTGGTCAAATTGAGAATAGATTAAAATTAAATTTTGTTTGTCTTTATTAATATTGTTTTATAGACTAGCCTTGGCGAAATTTGTGATTATAGAAGTATAAAATACGATCATAATAGTGTACAAACTTACAATTCCAATTAATTATAGTCGAATTTCGACTACTGCGGGACCTCTAGTTGTTTTAAAAACACTAGTGGTCC